GACTGACTGACTGACTGACTGACTGACCGACTGACTGACTGACTGACTGACTGACTGACTGACTGACTGACTGACTGACTGACTGACTGACTGACTGACTGACTGACTGACTGACTGACCGGCTGACTGACTGAATGAATACCAAACTGACCAACGGGCCAACCGACCGACCGACTGAATGAATGACACACTGATGGAATGACTGGCTGACTGACTGTCATGAAGACTTAATCGTAACCAACTAAGATTTAAGGATTACAAATGACGGGCGCCGGGGTATCCAATAACTTGGCTAAGGCGATTTGCTTACCTTGATCCAGGTTTCTATTACTCTGTCTTTCTTTAGTTTATTTTCCTGTCCGTCTCCGATGAGTTTTATTGCCTCACGAGTCTTGACTGGTTGTCTGTTAACCATACTGTGAAATATCTGGCACTCTCCCAGGGTGGGCTCACAAGAGAGGGAGTAATATGCTCCTGAAAAGAAAAATAAAGCCTTGAATGGTTAGAGATGACTTTGTTTTGTTAAGACCGAGATACAAAGAGAGTAAGTGTGATGGTCGTTCATATATGAGGAATTTCTAACTAATCACCTCTCAGAGAAAATTTTAAACAATTCACACGTCGATTCGTCGGCTAGGGAGTGTTATATTGATACAAAACTAAGTTATCGTAAAAAGGAAATGTACGATAGCTCTAATGGGAAATACTTGATGAATATTGGGAGTTGAAAGGTCTACAATGAGGAATTAAAAATATGGATCGGTACAGTGTAAGGACTATATCGCCTGGTCAAAGTAGAGCGGTAGCCACTATAAAAAAAAAAAACAACAAAACAAAACAAAACAACAAAAACAAAAAATAAAAATAAAAAAAAAAACAAAAAACAGCCTCTACTGGAAGTTTCATCATAACATGAGAAACAATGGCATGTTGTCATGGGTCTATGAGCAGGCCCTCATGATTAGCGCTGCAAGACGCGGGTTTCTCTAAGAATTGGGACGAGTGGGAGAGAGGTTTGTTGGGGCCTTGGTACCAACAACGAGGCCCTCAATGCTAGACCCCTGTGCAGACCTCTAGCGGCTCGCGTTACTCAGGGCTTCATATTTTCCCGCAGGTAAAGAAACGCTCCTGCCGAAGCGCGAATAATGAGCACCTTCTGGCAGGCTATGCTGCCATCGCAGCATAGCCTGCCAGACGTCGGTTCACGGTCAGAACAAAGTCAAATCACTCCTTATCGCAGTTAAAGCTTAATGTCACAGTCTAACCTCACATTATATCTTGTCAAAAAGCTACAGTGTAACAATGGAGTTACTCCGCATTCGGTACGAAATGAAAAACACGATCGTTTCACAACAATTCTCTAGAACCGTGTAGCTGATTAAGGCCCATGACCTTTATTGTAACTATTTCAAAATGTTACTAAACTTTCAATAGCCATTCTTTTACGTTTAATATCAAGGCTAACCGAGCAAAGCTACTCAAAGTAAAGAAGGTGAAACCACATGAAATAGTTTATGATGATCTCCGGAAGGCTTGTGCTCTTACATCACAAATCCACGCGAGCTTACACGGAATTATTGAAAAGCGAGTTTAATGAAAAACAAAAACTTGAAATAAGTTGAAGGCAAGGCTTCAAATTTCCATAATGCGACTAACGTGTCAGAGAAAAGCACTTGAGCCTTTTCAACAAGATAATGTTATTGTTGCAATCAAACCAAGCTACGAGGTATTTTATCAACAGCCGCATATCAGGTGTTCTTACACATTCTTAATAAAGACATAGAGCGGATAAATTCAAATATGGATAAATCCTCAATCACACTAAACTTTTTAACCTCATTTTATAAAGTAAGTAAAAAAATAGATATGTACTTAATTGGCAAGTCATACTGCATGAATATGTGTACACAAGTCAGCAATGAAGAACAGAATGTTGGCAAGAGAACAAGGAATTTTACCAGGACCCAACAAAGATCATTTAAGATCCTTTCCTGATACAATTTGAAAATGAGCTCGCACAAAAGCTAAGTATCCAGCTGAGAAATTGTCGAGCTTAATCAAAATAAATTACAGCCTAAAACACATCCCTCAGGTGACATTCGATTCATAATAGAGACACATCCTGCCTACTCAATTGTTGTGGTTACCGCCTCCAAGGTTGAGTGACAACCAAAGCCGATAAACATTCAGTTTGAAGATTTTGACCACGAGATTGAATAGGTTTGTGTCAAATTTTCCTATTGCTAATCTTTCTTCATTTGCCCATCGTGGTAGAAGAGAGGCGTGAGGGAAAAACTCCTACACAGGTTGGTCGGGTTTACTTTGGTTTCTTTCACAAAGGCAAAACAAACGTAACAATCATTCATAAAGCATTAATAAAGCATTGCATGAAGTTACTGTTTCCATCAACTACTGCCCTTATGAAACAGAATTTTCAATGAGCACGTAAAGACAAAATTTTAAATGTGGAGACAACATTTTACATGTGAATTCAACTCTCTTACACGTCACGAATCGCAACACTTCCCACGCAAAGGGTAGTCCGATGGGTAGCAGTAACATAGAGAACTAGCAAAACAAGTCCATTTGCCTTAACAACTTCCTGAAAACTTCTTTAGGGGCGGACGTAAAACAGCATAACACAAGTCTTGAACTGATTGCCTTTACTAAAATTTCAAATTAGCTGTTCCAGTATTTGCCATGAAAAACGTCGAGCGGCAAAGAGCACAAGGAAATCAGCAAATGAAGTATGAAGATGCTATGAAACAGGCGTTTCATGAAATATATCAGAATCTCAGAGGGATTGAAGAAGGAATCAAAAAGCAACGAGAGAAAATAGACATTCAACGAGGGAGAAGGAGTGCTCCCCCTTCAACGCTGAGAAAAACAACAGCTGTCTTTCAGAAAGCGAAGACAAATGCTATAAGGAAGGTATCAACGCCGCAACCGGCTTCGCATGCATCAACTACGCAGTGAGTTTTGCGGTGCTCTCAAGAAGAGGAAAATGTATGAATTTAACATAACCCGAGATTTAAAATCAAGAGTGTCCATGTGTTACAATTAATAGAGATTTGAGCTATGAACATATATCTTCGACAGAACTAGGACTATTTTAATTGATAATTTCCTACGAGGGTTTCACTGTTTCAGCATCACTAAAGAGCTATTACAACGCAAACAAATCCCAAAGAAAACTCAAACAAACTGTAACCGGGTTGAACTGAAGGGTTTGAAAATTTAAGGAATAGTTTATGGATTACAAATTTCATTTGCTGGTTTTTTTCGTTGGAGAAATTACCTCGGTTGTATCGCTGTTTGCATGCTGTAACTAAAAACAACCATGGCAATCACTATACGAAATCGAGTGACTCAAGCCGTTTTCACTCCTGTAAAGTATGGCTCTTTAGACCATGCGAATATAAATGCTGCTTACTACAACTGTTCGAAAGGCGGGTTACGTTAACCTAGACTAGAAGTAAAAATGGGCTATGATTTTTCCTCCTTAAAAGCGTAAACTAGGGCTAACGTTTTGTGGTTTTTCGTAATAAAACTAAGTATAGGTGGTTTGCAACCAATCTCTAGAGACACAGGTAACAATGGTGAAAGGAACAAATGGTGGTGGACGAACAAAAGAAGCTGGTGAGATATCTATTGCTTACGTCCACCAACATGGCGGCAATGACGTAACGTGCAAACCACCTTTACACTAAACAGATTTCTAATAGGCTACAAAATTCAGTCCACAAAAACCTGCCCTTGTTCTGAACGGAACAGCTTTTTGATACAACCTATGGTGTGATTCACGATTTTAGACTTTGACGATATTAAATATTCACAAAATACTGGCTAATGACAGCCGTGAAATATCTAAATTAATTAAGAGCCAAGGGTTTGCTTAGACCTTGTGTGCTGGTTAGTAAGTTAGCAAGGCTTAAGTCAAAAGCAAAAGAGCGAATCTTATTCGAAGAAAGCAAATAGGTCAACTCTCCTTAAAAAACAAACAAGGCATTGTGAATCTTGGAAACTGTTTTTGGAAGCGGCAAATTCTATGTAATAGTAATAATAAGGTAAATAACTAATGCCTGATTTAACTCAGTTATCATCTAATGGGAAAGTTATTGGGAAAACATTCTGTTTTCTTCTAAGGATATGTTTCACAATACATCATGACTTTGGACTCTGTCTCAAAAACATTTTAAGCCAAGTTATAATTTATGTTAAGCTAATCACAAGATGAATGGGCTAAAAATTTAAGCTAATTACTAGATGAATGGGCTACAAATTTTAGCGAATGCGATAAGGTCAAAACACAGATCTAAAACAAAGAGATATTACACAAGCTGATATAATCCTTCTCATGAAACAAAGATGTATAAAACAACTTAAGAAAACTTTATTCTTGCGTGATCTAATAAGCGTGTATATAGGCACGCTCTTGGAGTGAAACATGTTCAATGACAAAACCGCAAAGTGTGTGTCAAGTTAGATCTTGGAGTGTTGTCAAATAAAGTGTGCAATTACCTGTTCCTATGTGGTCAGTAAGGTCAGAGTTCTCTAAATTTTTTTAACTTTTAACTTTTCTCCGTGATTTTCACGTATTGTTCTTGAAGAGAGTACGTGATGGTATTGAGTTAATTCCCTTAACGCTGATTCGCTTTGCTTCAACAAAAGAGTGCAGTTTGGGGGGCTGTTAATTTGCTTTGTTTTAAAAATATTTCGAAAGCCAATCTCATCTTTCGATGATCAATTGGTTTTGCTCAATCTTATTCCAGCTATCAAAATGCAAAAAAAAAAGAAGAAATATTTCATGTTTTAGAATGCTGACAAAGAAATGGTATCCTGTGAAAGTTGAAGTGAAGTGGTTTCATTTGAGAGGTGCAGTGGCTCTAGGAAAGGTGAGATCAAAGCTCAGGAATAAAATTGCTCTGGTCAAAAGATGAATAAGATTTTTACTTTTATGATAACTGAGTGCAAACCTACATGTAGTATCATAAGAAAAGTAGTGTATTATTGGTGTTTTAACTTCATAGGTTTTTTAACAATACTATAATTGTCTCTGGCAGTGGAAGAGTCATTGGATCATGGAGCTGTTGTATGATACGACGTTTGCAAAGTTTAAGTTAATTATCTCAAAACAATCTGATATAAATAGGATAAGGAAGGAAGCAAATTTTGAGCTCCGTTATGGAATAAAAAATGTTATTTATCTTTAGACGGACAATATCATTCTTTTACTTTCTATTCTGAACTAAAAGACCCTACATCGTGGTACGGTTTCAACAGAAGGTGAAGCAGAGGTAAGCAAAAATATTTGCCTACACTTTGCATATTGGCATAACGATAACATGTTATTACGACAGACAAGAGTGAATTACGCAGCTTGTCAAGACCAATGTCACGGTGAATAATAAAAATTAAAGGTATTGTGTCATATTTTGTTACATCTTCAATCAGGGAGTTCGGGTTTGTCACGTAAAGGGCGTCAGAGACTCGTTACATCCGAAGTTCACTCCATGCAAGATTCTTTATGGGGGTTCAACATAGAGGGAACTGACTAGTTGGATGGGGATTTGTTATGTTAGTGAGCTAATTGTATCGGAGTTGCTATATCGAAGATTAATAATACGAGGGGCTTGTGATATCGGGAGCTCGTACATCAGGGATCCTCTCTGGCTGACGTGAACTGCCGTTTGGCATACTCTACACTCGTTATATAAGATTCATTGTGCTTCATAACAAGTAATTAGAAACTTACCATCTGCATAGCTCGGTTTGGGGTCTAACAGCCCTTCAGACTCCCTCTCGGATTCGCTGAACTCTGAAGCCTGAAAAGAAAGTTTGTACAGTTGATCATTTCTGAGTGGTGGTTGGTATCGAGGGTTGCATCATGGTTAGTGTACCTTCAAATATTCAGCCCGAATATTTTAAGTAGTTGACTCCAGCTCCCCGATGCCGCACACGAATCCACGACTCGACTTACACCATTAAACAGATCAAAGTCATCGTTAAGCTGTAACAATTTAAATGCACTTGTACCGCTCCATTTGTCTGTGTTTTCAATTCATTCTGGGCTATTGTTGTTCCTTTTGTGGTTTATTGATGATTCCTTGGTGTCAATCTATTTTAGCAGACAATAATTTTTCCTATGAAAAATACGCACATCACAGACTGCCAAAGTTACGACAGATTAAAGTTACTGAATCACTAAGGTGCAGGAAAATATCCACCTCTATCACGGTGGGGAATAATTTGTTTTAGTATATACCATGCAGAAACCAAATTAGTCTATGTCTTTCGATATACCGAAAAATGGTCGAAAATCAAACTTTTGATGTGCGATTTTAGTTCTTTAGTGGTTCGGAAGTGAATAGTACTTGCTATTCTTTTCGGTCTAAGCCAATCAGCGGATGCGAATAGCACTATTCACCGGTGTCAAGTTGATAGCATTCACGTACCTCTTTCGGTCTTCCATTAGGATGGCGAGCTGCTTGAACCAGTCTTACCAATAAACTAGCGCATGGAACGGGACTGTAGATAGAATCATTTGCAGTTAGAGTAGTAAACTACGCTAAACAAATGCCAACCTTCACTGAAGACTGACTGAGTGACTAACAGACTGACAGACTGACCAATCGCTAGACGAGCTGGTTGATTGATGTTTGTATTGGGTATTTACTCAGATACTCACGACACACTTTGCGTCACACTCTCATGCAAAGGTTGCGAGAGGTCTGGAGAACCACCATACAACCGTATTTGGTGAGGACCTTCGTTAAAAGCAACCTAAAATGGAATACAAGAACATTTTCTTCAAAATATGCACCTAGTCTGACGCGAGGAACTACAATACATTTAGTAAGAAAGATTGTAAGTTTAGAGCTCGGTAAAGAGATATAGAAAGATATAGAAAGATGTCTAGTCACGGGCGTGGAACAAAGAAAAAATTGGGGGTCCCCATGAGGAAACGAACCTCAGGCCTTCGGATTCCTCGCCTCGCTCCGATGCTCTACAACTGAGCCATAGACACTCTACGGTGAGCAAGACCCATTACGAAGTTCATGAATGATACGCGTCCTACACACTGCTAGGATCGGTCTACAACTGAGCCATAGACACTCTACGGTGAGCAAGACCCATTACGAAGTTCATGAATGATACGCGTCCTGCACACTGCTAGGATCGGCAATGTAGATAGCGTCATGTTTTGTAAATAATAAGATCGTAAGTTTTGAGCTCGGTAAAGAAATATAGAAAGATGTTTTTTTCGTCTAGTCACGAGCGTGAGACTCAGAATTTTTTCTTTGTCCCACGCTCGGGACTATAAGAAAAAAATATCTTTCTTTATCATATGGCTGTGTCTCACAAGGACTGGGAACTACCGAATTCACGAATTTGATTGGCTGAAATCAATATTGAAAGCGGTCTAGATTTTCCCATCTAGACCGGTATCTAGACCGGTCTAGAATAAAAAGGTACAAAGAATATAAAAAATGGGTATATAAGACAAACCCATATAATAAACATCTTATTAACCGAGCTAGGTCGGTCTGTAGCTCCGAGGTCAAGATTCTCCCATACAGACCTCCCGCTTGTTTAATAAGAACTAAATAGTACATAAAGTAGTGGTTCTACTATGTTTACGTCGTGAGTGCAAATTCTGCTGTACAGAAAGATTAGCATGAAATGATTTGCAGTAAAAAGGGTTCACTTTCTAAACCTATAATACGTTACCAAAAGATAATAAAACACACCTTCGCATTCCCACTACTGACGGATGGTTGTTTTGTTGTTCCAACTTCAACAAAGATCGGTAGAAATCCGTACCCCACACAGCAAAGAGTCTTTGAAATTCTATCCACTGTGTAAACTTTCAACATTAGAGTGCAAGACTGCGGGAAGACTGGGTCTCGGTATTCTGTCCTGTAGTTGTATTCCGGGTTGTAGATGTCACTGTCCAGTGTAGCTTGTACGTCAATGTCTGCACCAATTCTATAGAAAGCAACCAAGAGGTAAAGAGGATACTTGTGTCGGATCAATCGGAGTATCTGAGCAACTGCGCACCCACCCCTCCCCTAAACCAACAACAGTCAACTGATAACGAGTTAGGATCATTGTTGGGTCAGGGAGGGGTGGGTGCGAAGTTGCTCAGATACTGATCCCTTGTGTCAAATCTCGTGATGCATGGGGCCTTACTAAAATGAAACGACTCAAGAGTACTCCCCTGAGAAGTACAATAGTCCCCTCCCCCTCCGGCCAGCAATTTGTCAAGCGTCCCTGACATTTCATCAATGACCTTTACCACTCTTGCGTCAAAAGAGCATTGTGAGAGGAGCGTGGTTTGGCCAACAACCAACATCTGTGTCAGAGCAAGAAAAAAAAAAGCAAGGTGGAGGAGGAGGGAAAATCTTCCCTGTTTCTTTGGCTTATTCCTTGTCTATAATAGAGAATCGCCAGAACGTTTTGTCGCCCTGACATTTCGTCTTCTCTTTCGTGTACAAAGGCACTGTACAGGCAAGTGTCTTATTCAAGAAGAGAACATCAGAGTCTTGGTTTGAACGCAGGATCTGGGTTCTTGCGAAAGGTGAGTCGATTGGCTATCTGAAATTTCAGACCACAAAATCATTTATCACATGCTTTACCTTGTGTAGTTCTTGTCCAGTACTCTTCCAGCCACCTGAAAACGAAAGTCAGTAGTTCTGAAATGAGTTTAGAGCAATCGTGTAACAAGTGTTGCCCCCACTCAACTCTTTCTCTCCTGTGAGGGACCAAGGAGGAATTTCTCCTTACAATATCAACACAATTTTAAGCACAAATTTAATGACAAGAAAGAGTTGTATCAGCTTGACGCTATTCTTTGATTTAAGACCAAATTCTCAGCGCTTAAGTCATAAGAGATGTATGGCCGATGGCATAAAGAAATGATAACTAGATCTCGAGAATATATGACTTTAAATACACCTTAGTGATGCTGACACTGTCTGGAAGAAATCGAGCTCCGTCAATGTAAAGATCAAAACCATTTCCATCGTCAAATTCGTCAGTGAGTATAGACGACCGACCATTCTTTATCCATACATCCTGGATTGACAAAAGAGGTAAAAACAAGGTGACTACTTATCGCGTTTATTGTAAAGGTAGACGGACAAACATGAAGGTCATGGTAGTAAAGGAAATGATTACCTGGACTTTTCGATAAAAAAATTCAGAGATTATGTTTAAAGTCATGAAAAGTGAGTTTAAAAACAGCGCATTACCTCCTCCGCTTTAAAAAGATGGAGCGCTCGGAGACAAAAAGCATTCTGATGTACGTGTATTTGTTGTCACTGGAGCAGACTTTTAGAATTAAAAAATGTGTTATCTTTATTTCGTTCTTTGTCTCATTAATGTTCATATTTTCGATTATCCGGACTTTTTACCCAAGTCCCAACTAGTCCCGATAATCGAGGTTCGACTGTACCATAAGAAATGTTCTGAGAACAGTATGGGGTCCTTGCTTACTGATGTTAGGGTGTAGAATGTTAAATGGGTCCATGCATCTACATGGACTTCTACAATGACGTACACAATATCTAATTTGTATTTTTCTGCAAAAAGAGTGCCTCCTTACCTTGGGAAGGTCATTCTCTTCTTGAAATTCCTCAGGAGAGCTGGGTCTCGCAGGCGGAAGACTGCCTGTTGCAAAAATAGATACCCTCAACGAGGCCTGTCCATAAGGAAGCCACTGATCCGGAAAAGGACCCTGATAACAAGAACCACAAATAAACAAGGGGACTGGGAAACATCTTGGAAGTACATATATTAATAAACACTTCAGAAAAAAAATTCAACTAATAGTAAAAGCAATCTAGAGTAGTTCAATATCTTACCCGTAATGGAATATTAGGAACTGGAACAACGGGTGGGAAGAACAGTGGAAGATTATGAGAACCAACGTTTAGCCGTAGTCCTCCGCCTTGATTACCTAAACGTTAATAAACAACAAAAACATACAAGTAAAACAGTTAATCTCTTCGTTCTTTTTTTGGTGATACACACGAGCACTAGCGGCAAATTACCTTTCAACTCGCTTGATCCGATAAGCAATTCTCCCTTCTTTCTACTAACATTTCCTTGTAAATTAGTAATAGGAATTTGCTGCCAATTTTTCTGGAATTTTGCTACATCAGAATAATATCCACAGGCAGAAACTTTTGTGTGTTTTCATAAACTGCTTGCTGGAAAATGCGTGTATTAGTATTGACACTGAAAGTACTGTACAAAGTACTTTCGGGATAAAGGCTTCAAAAATACCCGCTTAGCAGTAACACGTTCATCACGTCCCGGATCATTCAGCTAGAACTCTACCAACCTCCCGATTGTCTACTTCGTCTTGATGCTTGCGAACCTGCAGTTAACGCCAGCGGTATAGCAGTCCACGCTGCGAGTTTACTCTCGTCTAGCAGATTGGGCGCAGCCGCAGTGGAGGCTCCGGAGGTGGATGCATCCCCTGGTTGCAGGTACAAACGAAACATTACGACGGAGTGTGCGTCCCAAGGAACGTTCTTGAATTGGGCCTGGGGCGAGTAAAGAAAAAAAGTCCCTTGGAAGAGGTAATCATTTAGCTTGTGACTGAGTGAAAGGAAGGGCTGTAAGAGTTAAACATTAGCATCCTAACATCAGTATGCATATTCTCCATACTGTTCTCTATACATTTACTAAGGTTCTGATAAGGAGAATTTGTTAAACAATCAAGAGTTTCTTTAGTTGGTGATCATTTTCTTTATTCTCCTGACCTTAAAGTGTGATTCAGGGGTGATATCGTAAGGAGAAATTAGATGTTAGTCACTCTGTGGTTAAAGCATGGATCTGAATTGTGTGCATCGAATTTCTTAAAAATTGGCAGAATGATGAATTTTGATATGATGATTTCAATTCAGAGATAAAAGATGCAAGTCAACGCTTTTCAGTTGCAAGCACATAGCACAAAAAAAGGTGTCTCAAATGGCTTGTAGTGCTGCTATGGTAACCTAATTGTTAGAAAAATGGTCACAAATTACTGAGAAATAATTGGTCACTTTTTCTGATCCAACTTCAAGGAGACAAAAGAAAAATTAAGGTAGCCCTGAATACTCAAAAGTAACGAAACCATTTGGAGCCATCTTGAATGATAATTACGATTACATAACAATCTCAAAAAAAATTGAAAAACAATTGCACGCAAAAATAGCCACCACAGTTTATTTTAAGGTTATCAATTCCAAGCTGATGTTCAATTAAAGCTGCTCTCGGCTTCGTTAACGCAAGACTATATCTTCTTATAAATGACCACAAATTAACAACTGTATTGATGGAACATTCCTGAAATTTAAAGGGGCACCGCAAAATTGCACATCCCAGAACATTTACTGATCACTTGCACTCTGACTGATAAAATGAATTTATTGATTGCGATAAGAAGAATAGCGGTTACTTGAAATTTGATGGTAAGGTTTACCGAAGCACCTGTGGTCTAAAAGCGTATACAGTTAAAATCTTTAAATTCAAAGAGTGACAAGTATATAATTTCTCCTTTTCAGTGATATTGATGAGTCATTCATTATGATCAGGAGAATAAAGGAAATGATCTCCAACTTCATAAGCTATGATAGTAGAGCGAATTCTTCCAGTCAGTACCAAAAGAAATGTAAAGCAAACAGTGTGGAGAATATAAATATTGGGGTGAAGGAGGTTAGCGCGGTATTCAGACCATATGAACTCAAAAATGTTGGAGAAATAATAATCATGCAATGTGATTTGTTGGATAAGATCATGTGACACTCTCTAGGGAATTACACGTGCTCTTCTATTGCATCATCTAACTGTTAACCTCGCAGTTTCGTTGTTCGTTTTTTAGTCGCTGTTGTAACCTTCTTTCGGATAGGAATAAAGATGAATTTCTTAATAAAAAATAACCATTCATCGATCATAAGCGAAATTAAAATTCATCATTCCTGATTTTGCAAAGAGTTGGAAAAATTTTTCCTTCACGATTGTCAAATCGAATCATCTTCAGTCTTTAAAAGGGCCCTCGAGATACTAACCTACAACTATAAATATGTCATCACTGTATTTTTAGGAAATGTTCTCTTTTAAAGTTTATTGTGGATCATGGGAACTAAAAACAAAAAATTATCTTTTTTTCCAAGAGTATGTAATATTAATGATGCGGTGCAAAACACTGAATTTGAGGCTAAAAGATTATTTCGATAAACTACGTCAACCTTGAAGGAAAAAATTCTCTAGCAGTAACAAAAACAAATTGAAAAAAATTGAATTTAAAATCGCTTTTAAGAAAATGTGCAGACGAACTATAACTAAAACAAATATCAGTGTTTCCAAATTGTTTTTTGTCCTCGCTTCGATTCAATTGAGAGAACTACATTGGATAAAATAGGTTTATTGAGAAAACCAGTGTGATAAAAAAAATGCCGCCAATTCGAATGTGTATGTTCCTTATTACTTTATGTTTTGAAAACCATAGCATTTGATTTTTTCCAATTAGCGTCAGGATTTTAATCGCTATTTGCTGCTTTCCTCAAAACAAAGGGGTTAAACGATGAAATGATATACCAGCCATCAGAGAAAAGATAAATACTGCCCCAAGCGATATCTTTCACAGCAGTTAGCCGGCAATTCCCCTTTTTTACATATTTTAAATAATGTGGAAATTCTACCGCAAAAACTTTCCCAGCCAATTAATAATTTAGAAGCAGGATTATGTTTTCTCAGTGTCTAGCGATGTTTGCAAGCGAAGCACCAATTGAAATATTCAAGAATGATTTAAATACATCGCCTTGCTCTTAAGCGAAACTATCCCCAACACAAACACAAAAGACATCTTTAAAATATTAACGCGACTCGTGTAGAGGTTTTCTTTTTATATCCACGAGTAGACCCTTTCAGAGCAAACTAGAAACACGCGGTTAAAAATTAAAATAATCTGGCGGTATATCTGTAGGGGAAGTTTCAGCCGAACATTTCGGTGTCACAGTATATTTGAAGTTTTTATCTGCGCGACATAATATTACTTAAATTGATTTATACTCCAGAGAAAACTATTAGGTTCCACCACACTAAAGGTTAAAAAATTTATCCACGCATTTTCAAATTCTTGTGATTCTGAATAAGATAAATCGGCTTTTTTATTTAAAATTTCGGTGGCATGGAAACGTTACGCGAATCTGACGAGGAGATGGACTCCGAGAACGAGGTGTTACCGTATACTTATGAAGGAGATCGGAACGAAAACGGTGAACGACACGGAAAAGGGAAAGCAAGGCTTCCGAACGGCGATATATACGAAGGAGAGTATAAGAACGGATATCGCAACGGCTATGGGAAATATGTGTTTAGGAAACTCAAAGGCAAGTCGCGAAACGCGTGTTACATGGGCCATTACGAAAACAACAAGAAAAACGGACAAGGGACATTTTTGTATCCTGATGGAGCAAAATACGAAGGAAGCTGGAAAGACGATTTAAGGCACGGATTTGGGTCTTACTTTTATACCAACGGCGATTTATACCGTGGCGAGTGGGAATACGACCGGAGACATGGACAAGGAACGTATACATATGCGGCCAGTGGGATGTCATATGAAGGACAGTGGTTTGAAGGGAAAAGATCAGGTTAGCTTTTAAAGATATTTTTTGGTGCAAAAAAAAAAAAAAAAACCCATAATAATAATAATTGCATACTTAGTGTAAAATATTAAAGGCGGCGGAAAACAAAACAACGAGTCGAAACGTTCTTGCAGTAAGGCATCGCATTTGAATACGTTAACTTTAATGTCACCAGTTTGAATCAGTTTGATCACAATTTGCACGTCAGTTTGAAGATGGCGGATCACACAGTTTTGGCAAACATTTTGACCATAATTTTTGACGATCGAAAACTGTGTCAAGAGAAAACGATTTTTATGGAACGATCTTAGAGGGATAAACTGATAATCATCACGTCTTGGCACACGCGGATAAAAAGTAACACTTTATTTCTCTCGATATTCGCCATCTAAAGGAAATTTTTGAAGACATGGTTGCTAGGAGCTTTAATATATCCATGAAATATTAAAATGAGGGAAACGCGCCTGACATAAATAAATTACTACCGACAAATCGCATAAACACAAAGAAAAACGGATAAAAAGCTGAGAGGTGTCACTGGTGAGTTTGTATACCTTGAAAAAAACAACAACAACAAAACAAAAAACAAAAAACCAACTGGAACTGTCGATTACAAGCAGAAGTTCGTATATAATGAAGACAACTTTTATATTAGAAACTAGACAAGTTGTCGGGTAGTAAATAGACGAATGTAAATAAGCAGCTTTGCGATCAAAGAGCCGAAAACAGATGACTTAAATTAAGGAATTAAGTCGACGAATACCCATCAAAACAATGGGCAAAACCTTTGAAGGCATATCATAAAAAATCCTTAATTTTTTACCCATCATGACAACGCTTGAACTCCACGAAAATCTGTTTTGATCTTTGGTTAGTACAAGGGCAAAAAGGTTTTTTAACCTACATGGAAACTAGGTTATAGTTCAAACAGGCTGTCAAAAAATGCGACTGAGAGCCAAATTGAAGCTCAAACTGTCAATCAGTTGTAATTTAGAATATATGAGGAGAATTGCCCGTTCGTGCGTTCAACGCTGATATTCTTGACCAGACCGTTGCGTTTTAAAATTCACAGCCGGAAAAAAGGATTTAGCGCAATAATAGTTAAATTAAATCGTCAAGGCAACGTTTAAATTATCCGTGGCTTGAGCGAAATTCGTTAAACGTCTGCTTTCATTTACAACCCTTACTCTTCATCTCATTAAAAATGTCTTCAAAAACTTATTCGGATTTGATCAACATGTAACGTCTCCCAATATTATTCAAACACTTTCTAGCAAACAGGTAATGAGAATACTCAAACTCAATGGGTAGAAGTTATCATTTTGATTTAACACCAAATTCTCGTAACTAATTTACAAGGAAATGTGTAGCAGCTAGAGGAGAGAATTAACAACCAGATCTTGGTAGTTAAACGGTAAATCCCCACTCACCGTCAAGGTCATCGTTATGATTATCTCTAAGTACACTTTCTTAGGAACGGGGGGGGGATGAGAAGGTTCTTTGGGGGGGGGTACCCACATTGTTTTCAGGAGAAACGGAGGGGGGGGGGAAGTGATCATGAGAATATTACAGAGCCTTATGGGGTAATAAGGTAAATTTTCACGTGACACAACAAAAATCCTCCGACCCTCCCCACCCAGGCGAAAAACAATGACCGGTCCCTTATTTCTTTACTGATTTTTCGCAGGAAGGGGAAAATTGACATTCGGAAAACAAAATTACATCGGCAACTTTCACGATGACAAAATGATCGGCCCTGGTACGTACATTTTCCCAAACGGCACTCAACAGCATGGCGAGTATATCGTGGTGGAGGAGGAAATTGAGGAGGTCAATGAAACAGGCAAAGGAAAAAACGACAACGATACAGAGAACAGAAGCCGAACGAAACAAGTGAAAATTAAGTGGATCAGCAAAAGTGGAGATGCACCGCCAGTCACGGTTGTAAAGAAAGAGACACTTATTAATTAGTACTGGTTTAATT